TTCATACCCTTTAACATTTTCATCCAGATTCATTATCCATTGACTGTTTGCTTAGCCAAATGTGGAAAAAGTTTCCATTAATTTTAATGAACTAGCGACTTTTGCAAAAACCGAGTTTTATTTGTATATTTATACTACTTGTATATACCTGAAGTAGTCAGACTATGTAGTTAAACAGAATTGGCTTATTGAATCATCATTAGAAGTTCACTATACATTCATTAGTTGATGTCATTTATGTAATCAACACCGATTTAAATCTAATCTTTCCTCTACTACTGATCAAGATTAATCTGATTAAAATAACATTTTATAAGTAGAGCTGAGTAGTGGCTAGCAGTGGAATTCGCGACACGTTATATGTACCTGTACCCAAGTGTTGTTAGTCAAACAGAGTCGAAACAGTAATTCTTGCTTCAAACACCTAATGCATTATCCACTTAGCTGTTAAGTCCAAATACCCACTGGCTTTTGGAACGATATGCATTATAATTCATTTTTATTGTTTGTTTGAATCTTCTCATTGAAGTTATAGACCGAAAATGACTAGTCGCTTTTGGTACGTACATTCACATTACGAGACCTGAATAGAACAAAAAGCGCGTTAGTTTCTATCTTCCCCATTGTCATTTAAGACTGTAATCGAGTGAACATCAATTCTGAAATGCAGCTACATCCAGCTGACAAGTTACAAATAGGACGAAACGCGCATTGTGGATTCCACTGTTAGCCACTATTCATCTTTGCTTATAAAGAATAAAAACGGAACTATTTTATTTATTCAATCGTTATTAAATTTAGTGATTTATTAATTATTATGCCTTTGAGAGTTGACTTTCTCTTTATCTGTTTATCTCAATGTAACTACAATGTACACATGTATATGTATGTAAATATTAAAACAAAATAACTCCCCCCCCCGAAATAGGTTAATCGAATTTCGTACGCGCATACACTGTTGTTCACCTGTCCGACAACTAATTTCGAAAACATGTTAGTTACTTTAAACAATAATCATGTATCAATATAATTTCCTTTAAAGAAACTGGGATTTTTTTATTAACGTTTGTTTGTTAGCTTTATGTTTTCTCTGTGAATTTCTATGGAGGAGGTGAGGAATCTAAGTAATAACAATAATGTTACTAAGGGTTACAAAAACAGAACAGAAATGAAAATAAAAGTTCATAAAACGAAAAAGAAAACAATTTGAAATTCGTACCGTTTATTTATCTTAGTCGTTTGTCCATACCTTTGTATGTGTATATATGTTTGCTTGTAACTATGTATCCATATGTTAAGATAGGGATAATGTTGAGTACAGCATTCATAATAATAATAAGAATGAGAATGATCTTTAAAGAGTAATTTCGATTTATTAAATGAATACCTGCATACACAGAAATATATTCAAATATTTATGGCTAAAAAGATGAACATAAACAGAATATATTTAATGAATGATGGCTGACAATGGAAACCAGGATACATGTTTCGTCCCATTTTGAACTTGTCAACTCAATATACAGCCAACATACACTCACAGACTCGAATTCAATGCTGTTCGCCCGAAACATCATTGTGTCTATCTACTTAGCTACTAAGTTCAGATAGCTACTGGCTTGTGCAATGGGGTGAAGTGTAGTTCATTTGTATTTATCCCAGAATAAATATTGATTTTGAGACTCAGGTAAATCGAGCTGATGAAACACGCGTACTGGATACCAGTGCAAGCCATCATCCATCTCTTAATTAAAAAGAATATTGCTTGTGACCTAATGGCAAATATTCAGGGATTCTGCCAATAATGTACACATGCTGAAAAGACTGATCAACTACAGTTTTAGACATCAATGGAAATATTTATATAACTATATACATATGAAGATTATGAAGAGAAATTAAGGGATTCCACAACTATTATTACTCATATTACTACTATATTCACATTATTTTACTACTGCGAAGCTGACACTCCTCAAATTAGAAAGGTTATTTTAAATCGAAGTAATTATTATGTTGATACACAATATAAATTCTTTGAAAAAAAACACAATGATAATTCAAACACAAGCAAACATCGTTCATCAACATGCACAATGTCAGTGATTATGCTCTCGATCTGAATCAATATTCAATCAACAACAACAACAACACTTATTCACACATCCCAACATCGCATAAACACACGCACACAGATAACTCATTTGAATATGCATTACTAGCAACACGATACATTCTACTGAACAACTCACTACAAATTCAAAATCATTATCAACATTTCTCAAAGTCAGTAGCAATAAAGACAAAATGATCAATTAATTCATACATTCACTTGTCAATCTACCACAAACTCATCAACATCACATCATTCATCATCGGAAACACATCAAACATCAAACTTCAATCAGAATGATTGCACACTCATCTCCACAATGCATCATTCTCACATTCCAATCTCCATCAATCCAATCATTCACATTCTCACAGAAATGAATTAATTTCGTGTTACTCTAAACATTTTCACTTGTTCGTTCGTTATTGCATCACAATCAACTTTTGTCAAATAACTCACTGTTCATTCACTAGATCACTGATACATGTTGCAGTGTGATCTCCATCAACCACTACATTTTACGTATGTAGAGTTGTGGTTGAGTGTCCGCAGTGGATATTTCAGATGGCAGTAGTACAACATACTGAATGAAATAACACAAATATGATGATGATGAAAGTGGGATATTGAAATGAAATTTCTAATGGAACCACTACCACATACTGCCACTCATCCAGTCAATGAATAAATGAATGGTCGAAAAGTGAACACGTTGTGAATGGTTCGATAAACCAAATATCGATCACCATATTGCGAAACTGTCAATGTGATCGCAACGAAATGGATGATCATTGAGTGGGAATCATGTGAATTACTGAAAAAGTGAGTGACTGTTACCACTCTTATTTATTATAGTGATATAATCAATGAAATAAATAAGAATGGAGATGATTATGATTGATGAAATTTATTTGTGTTGTAGTATTGTAATGAAAATGATAGTTTATTGGAAGAATACGTGAGGTCGTGGGTGGATTTGAGGCATTTTGTATTTGACGTCCATGTAGTGAATAAAGACTGATGGTGTTCTGTTATGTCATGAATCAGACAGTTTTAAGAGAAATTTTACTCAATGATTTTAACAATTTAATGTTTAAATGATTGAGATGGAATGACTAGACTCCATTGTTGAATGTCTTCTATTTTAGTTTTGACTAGATAATTGTTAGAACGATCTTCAGTTGAACTCAAGGAAGCTCTAGTTTATTGAAATAATAACGGTTACTAAAGTCTTTAAATACTAGATATTTTACGCTGTTGATAAGTAAATCACCTCAAGCGGATTTGTTGTTGGGTATAAGCGTGTATGTCTATTTTTCTAGGTATGTTTTAATCGTTATTATACACTTTCTACTTTCATACATTTTAATTAGATCGATTGTTATAGCCTTGATTACTGTAGGAAAAGAATTAGTAAATTAATATTTCCCATCAAGTTCGTGAATCGATCTATGCTGTACCAACATTGAGAACCTGTAAGTACTGGATAGGCGTTTCTTCCTAGTATGAGACTACTTATTTTTGAGCGTCCGTGACCCTTTGATCTTCGGACTGTCGGTCTCACGCGAGAACGCTTAGTTTGCGGACCAGTGATCTGTCAGTCAACGGTGTTAATATCTAATTTCAATGAATCCACGATATTGCGCGACCGTCTTCCATTGTCTTCGTTGGGTGACTTCTTCACAGGTTACACGGTTTAGCTCTACTCTGCACAGCTTCGCATGTCCTCTCTAAGCTATTCATCAGTGAGCACACGATACTAGTCATGATCTTGATGAAATTGAACAAATTACACGAAGTCCTACCACTGATACCCAAAAATTTTATTAAAAACTTTTAACTTAATGAAAATATCGAAATAATCCATTCACAATATACATAAGTCCCAACAGAGACTAATCAACTTTATTTCTCAATATAAGACAATATAAAATCCTTATAAATAATTGATTTCACTTGAATTATTCTAATTAACTTTCCAAATTACAGTTAAACAAACCGTCTCATTCAATGTTTCATTATACTAATTATTGATACTTCGGACGACCTTTGAACAACACCATACTGACCTTGAGAATATCTACCTAATAATTAGGATTAAATGAGAGTTATAATTCAATTTATTTATTTATTTATTTGAACACATAGATATTGGTGCAAGGGGGCACCAGATACATATGCTCCACACAAATCTCATTTGATTTGTATGAATGCTGTGATATTGACCGGGTGCCCAAACCGAAGCAGATGGTTTACTTAGGGGGCCACACCCGAAGCCTTCGACCTCAGGGTCTAATCTACAAGGCAATGGAGGATCGCAAGGAGATGCGATCTCATGGTAGCCGGTGAACAACGTTTGGTTCATACGCCATTTTTCCCTTCAGGATACTGGGAACCCATGAGAGTTATAAAATATTATGAGGAACTAAAATTATAATTAAGATTTGGATTTAAGGTTTTCATCATGAATGAAAATCAACTAAAATGTCATAACTCAATCTAACCAAAATGAATGACTGAATTTCGCGCGGCAAAATTCATGACCTTCTAACTTAAATCTGATTGGCTCATTTATGAATTATAGTCTCGCCAATTTATCTAACTACATTTTGATTAGTTGATGGTATAAGACAAATTAGTGATTGTAACTTTGAAACAAAAATTATAATTTTCATTGATGTACGTAAAACGGTAATGATTTTCAAGAAGAAAAAAACCAAAAAAAAAATAGGAAAGAAAATTCAGGGAAATTTATACATTTCTAATAAACAATGTAATATTTAAACAATAGTCTATGCATAGCAACAGATTTAACACAATTAAGGGAGGTGTTTAATAAATGGAATTTAAAGGAAAAAAGAAATGAATTTTATTCACAATAATAATAATAATAATAATAATAATAATAATGAGTACAATGTATTGCGATCATCATGTACAACTGCTAGTAATGAAGACAATGATGGGATTTATTCAGATGAAACAGAGAGTATGATTAATCATGCAAGAAGTTCACCAATGAATGATAGTATAGATACAATTGCAAATACAATTAGGATAACACCACCACCACCACCATCAACAGCAATAACACCAACAACAACACCATCGTTGACATCAAAAAGTAACACTGATGATGATGATGATGATCATAGTGAACGAAATGTCAATCATAATAATGATACTAATTCACATACAACTATTGATGAAGATTTAATGACTAGTTATGAAGCTTCAATTGATACAGAATATAACAATAATCATTATGAGTTACATAATGAATTAATGCATAAATCATTTCCAATCAATTCACTTAATTCAATGAAAAAAACAGAGAAACAAGTAACATTTCAAGACATTGTTGAAATTTCAACAATTTATTCTATTACAAATGAATCACAAGAGTCCATTTCACATCATTATGAAGATGATGATGAAGAAGATGATTACAATGACGATGATGATGAAGAAGAAGAAGAAATGAAAATGACGAAACAGATTAGTGTAAATAAAAGACTAAAAAATCGATTGAAAAATGTAATCAAATCCAATGATCATAATGTTGGATTAGTCATAGCAACAATAGAACAAAATAACAAAAATAATTCAGATAATAATAATAATCAGATTCTTTCAGAAAAAGATTTATTAAGTGTAAGTGATAGATTACAGTTATTTTATTTTTTTTGAAATTATACTCATTCATTACTGGTTAGTTTATCTAATGTTTATCTAGTTTAATGTTTATCTAGTCTACTATATTACTAATTAGACATAATGAATAGCCTTAGTGACTAGATTACTGTTATACATAGAGATTAGATTCTTTCTCTACCGCTTACTACTTCAGCACTCAAATACTAGAACCTACCATGTCACAAAAAAAGTGGTATTAGATGAATGAAAAGAAATATTATTTCAAACAGTGTCAAATAAGATACAAAACATTCAGTTAGTTATAGTTCTTAGTAGAAACGAAATCATCATTAAAGTCATCTTATCCATGTGAAGTGGTTTTTAACATTTGTTTAATCGGAAAGCTACAAGTTGAAAGTTTGGAATATTCTTCCAAAAAAGAGTGATTGAATGGAATGTCTTCAGCACTTTTTAAGTTTCTTAGAGCTTCCTTGAGTTCAACTGAAGATCGTTCTAACAATTATCTAGTCAAAACTACAATAGAAGACATTCAACAATGGAGTACAGTCGTTCCATTTCAATCATTTAAACATTAAATTGTTAAAATCATTGAGTAAAATTTCTCTTAAAACTGTCTGATTCATGACATAACAGAACACCATCAGTCTTTATTCACTACATGGACGTCAAATACAAAATGCCTCAAATCCACCCACGACCTCACGTATTCTTCCAATAAACTATCATTTTCATTACAATACTACAACACAAATAAATTTCATCAATCATAATCATCTCCATTCTTATTTATTTCATTGATTATATCACTATAATAAATAAGAGTGGTAACAGTCACTCACTTTTTAAGTAATTCAAATGACTCGCATTGAATTATCATCCATTTCGTTGCGATCACATTGACAGTTTCGCAATATGGTGATCGATAGTTAGTTAATAGAACCATTCACAACGTGTTCACTTTTCGACCATTCATTTATTCATTGAGTGGATGAGTAGATCTATGTGAGTGTGATTTGATTAGAAATTTCATTTCAATATCCCACTTTCATCATCATCATATTTGTGTTATTTCATTCATACCCCTTAGAAGAACTGTCAGTGATTGGACCCAGGATCTTCAAAGCCTGTATATAAGTCCTTACTATGAAACACATTGACGCAGTTTTCATTGTTACACTTTCAACTCAATTGATTTGCTTTTGAGCTCGATAATTATCTAATGCCATTTAGTAACCTATCTCATTCTCGTCATGTTATTACCTCAATCTTAACGGTTTCTCACTAGAACGTTGGAAATATCATGAAGTAATCCACTAGTTAACTGATCAACATAGTTTAGTTGTAGGGATTTTGTGGATATCGGTTAGATTTTTTAGTAATGCTTTTTGCGTTACCAGAGTGGTGATTGATGGAGTTGAAATATGTCGAGTGTGCTACAGTTCTCAATAGTTGCATTAGATAATCATTAATTTATATCGCAACTTGATTGAATTGAAATTAGGTGATTCTAAAGGTCAAGCCTCTTCAACGTCACCAGAAAGTCCTTGTTTTGATTCCTGAGAAGATCATGGATGCGCACTAGTAAGAGGTCTCTTGATAGGGCAAAACAGTTATCCAGTACTTTCTTTTCTTCAGTGGTACTCTTACAAAGATCGGCTTGTGACTAATACAACCTATAAATCAAACCAATCTAAAAAAAACTCATTTAAATCATCCGTTTTCAGTTAACGTTTGATAGACTACATAATCAGTATTCATTTAGATATCTTTATTAAATGTTTCCAATATTGTAAGATTGCTTATTATCATACAAACAATATTCCTTAATTGCCACCCCACGAGACTCGAACCCAGTCCTATCAGTCTCGCGCACGAGCACTCAACCACTAGATCACTAAGCCGACCGGCATCCTTCGGTGTTAATGTATAACTTCAACTGATCCACGAATTGAACGACACATCTACCATTGTCTCCAGGGATTTACTATCTCACAACAGACCCGGTTGAACTCCACTGATCACTGCTTCTCACTAGAACTCCAAGAAATACCTCTTGGAGACCGTCGCTAGGACCTAACAGTCCTGGGTTCGGATCTCGCGAGTCGGGATCACGAATGCGCATTGCTGAGGAGTCCCATAGTAGGACTAAACGGCCGTCTAGTGCTTCCATGTTTTCCATGGTGGTCTAGTTTTAAATGACTCATGATCTCAACTATTAAAATTACTATAATATCCACAAAACCTCTTCTGATAGTTTTTGTCTTTCTCTATGCATGTTGAATAGTTTCAAATGGCAAAAATTAAGTTTGAACCATTGATCTAACTTTAACCTCACTTGTATTCATCATAAAAGTTTGATTTGATTTATTTTGTCACTCTACCAAGAGAAAACATAAATAGATTTCTTAAGTAGAATACAAAACTCAGAATTAGATCGCCCATAACATGAGATATTATTATACTCTACGAACCTATTCAATAACATTATACAGTTTCTAAGGTATACCAAACCCACTATGCAAATAAGGACATTGAAATGAGTAGGACTGTTTAAGTGCCAGATCGAATTATGATCCTCACAAATCATTAATATATATCTATTTATCCTTCGGGCTCAAACAAGGATATGTAAACTAAAAACTTGAGTAGATACATAACTAATTGACTCCAATTTCTAACTTACCGACTTACCTGGGAAGTCAATGTGAGCACAAACATATCACATGTCCTTACATGTCCAACCATTCACACAGATACAAACCACATTGCAGTTTGACAGGCAGAATTTTACTAGACAATATCAAATGGATTTCCAATCAATATTTCACTCCTACAGAAATCACTCATGCTTTTAATAGTTCAGTATTAATAACTCTGATTGAACAGGATAAACATACACTGAGTGATAAGGATTTCAAATCTCATACGGAACAATAGTTCTATCAAAATTAGAGATATACATTGCTGACGATTATCAACTGATAGATAAGGTTCCTCTTCAAGTTACCAAGTCATATGATTTATTTTATCTGTTATAATGGTAATAATAATCATTACTATTATTATTATTATCTTTACTGACTAATACTAAAATAAAGATGGAATACTTCTGCTTCAGTTCTTATCCAAGCGATTTAAAAAAAATATGGTCGTAATAGTAATAATCGTTTTTACACAGTAGATGAATCTAGTACGGCAGTTTCACCATACTAGCAACTTATCATAGTGAAAATTAATAGAGAGATACAGATCCACGTTGCCCTGACTAGTACCAATTGAGACAAAACACTCTTTCTGGACTCCACAGCTAGTTATCCTTAAAAAATTTTTGTAACCAATGACCATATTTAGACAATTTGTATAGGATCCATGCAAATGTCAATAAAGACTAATCAAAACTTAACCTTGAATACCAATCACGAGAAAATGCATACTCCTACTAATCATGAATTGAATTAGTTTATTAGCCTAAATGCTTATCTTTACATAATTCATGAACAACGGTTTGTTCAACAGAGTCAATGGCATCATCATTATTTTTCATTTACTTACAAGGAAGAAAGAGATTCGAAGTTAATCGAGTGCTTTCATTTGTTATAATTGAGGCGAAATGAGTAGAGAGAAACCCTTCCATCTTTAAAATAGACTAACATGTTACATGGTTTATGTCATTTCACTAGTCTCATTATAGTTCATCCATATTTTTGTAGTCGAAACTTTCGAAAGTAAAATCATATTCATAGGATTATGACGAATAAGTTACACTTCCCTCAGTGTATATATACATATAAATCAATCTGATCACTACAAAAATTTTCCTGGTCAGTAGTGAAATCGAGCTTTTTGTATATTCTAGACACATTTGTCAAATTCATTTGGTTTTCTTTTCGTGTTCTTCTCTTTGTTGCCAACTACTAAACCTTATCTACTTCGTTTTTCTCCGCCAAGCCAACTTAGTTTAGACATGCATACACATATAGAGAGATAGGCTTATTGTTTTACACATTGGATAAATGCATGTCAATAAGAATGAGCCTATGACTAATAGTTTATTGAAGCTGTCATCAGTAAAATTTAGAAAAAAAAAACAAAACTTTCGTTAACACAATGCACGTAATCTATATTTATACCATTCCTCCCCCTCTTTCGCGCGCGCTCTCGCTCTCTTTCTCCCACTCTATCTGTCTTACACAAATCTGCAAATCTGCATAAGTGTAGTTTACACTTGATCTTAGAAACAAACAAACAAACAACCTAGTGAATAAACGATTAAATTCTCTACTAAATAAAACAAAACAAAATCCCATTATGCCTTTTTTTTCTCTAGAAAATAATAATAAATTATAAAAAGAAAATTAATAATTTTCTGAAGTGGGTGGGGAGAAAGAGGAAGGGGGGGGAGAGACTGACGAAGTTGGCGATAAATGTTCAATCGGTATTACTATATTGAAACTATTGATTTTTAAGCGCGCTTATACATACCAATTATCAATTGATCAATAAGCATAAAAGGTTATATTTTCTTTTTTTTGTTTTTTTTGTTGTTTGTTTCCGATATAATAAAGTAGTAATTAATGATAATAATCATAACAGTGAAACATGGTGATTGTTTTAAATGTGAATATTTATTTAATTGCCTTATGGGTAACAAAAAAATAAGGGAGCAGTGGAGTTCAGTCGGCTCTGTTGTGAGATAGGAACTCACTGATGACAATGATGGATGTGTCGCTCAATTTTCTGGATTAGTTGAAGTTAAACATTAACACCGTCGGATCCCAACCGGCTCAGTGGTCTAGTTGGTTAAGCGCCTGACTCGAAACTGATAAGTCCTGTGTTCGAGTCTCGCAGGGTGGTGGGATCGTAGATGCGTACTGCTGAGGAGTCCAGTGCTTCTAGGTTTCCCATGGTGATTTAGCTTCAATTGACTTATGATCTCAACTGTTGGAAATAAACCCACCTAATACATTTTACTTGTATTTTCATCATTTATGATATAG